TCGATGGTGTGTGTCGTGGCTGTTTGCTGTCTAATGTAACATTAACCTGGCAGTTCGTGCAGAGCAGTGCAGCCGAGTCCAGCACAGGGTCCAGTAGTTGTACAGTCTCAGGAAACACGCAGCATAAAGTTAGTGACTTCATATCTCTAAAATAATGAAGTCATTTTTGTATTTTCTACCAAGAACTTAACACCTTTTGCTATGAACCATAATGTTTTTAAAAGGTCAGTTCACTGAAATAGCATCTGGTCATGTGTTGATTTAGGTTTGAGCACTACAACACAGTGGAGGTTTAAAGGGCAGATTATTTGGTTTTCTCTGAGGTCTGTCATAAATATCAACCCTCCACCACACTGACAGGTTTATGTGCAGGTCTGCTACTAGCAGGCTGTTTTCACGTTCCTTTGTTATTGGGGGGGGGTCTGTTTGCTCCCCTGACGTCTGAGTTTCAAACATGGACATGCAAACCAAATTTATGATGAGAAAGACAAAAGCTGTGAGCACATCCAGCCTGAACCACCAAAAATTCTTGAAGAATAAATTTATGTAGCATTTTGACCAACATGGTCAATAATTTGCTAACTGTTAGTTGCAGTCTCCCTGTTCTCTGTTACTAGATTGTTTTGAATCAACTAAGAAAAAAAAAGAGACATGGCGTCTAAACTCTGAGCCAGACTGTAAACATATACGCAGGGGATCTTTCAATGAAAGTGTTTTCAGCTGTTGTCCATAACACAGTACAAACCACAATCATTGTCCCTTTAAACCGGTGTCCTTGCTTCACTGTGTCCCATCAGATCCAGCCCTACGAGAAGATCAGAACCAAGGGTCACCCTGACAACATCACCACCAGTCTCAACAAGCTTGCTGTGGTCAAACTGAACGGTGGTCTGGGAACCAGCATGGGCTGCAAGGGCCCCAAGAGTCTGATCAGCGTCCGCAACGAGAACACCTTCCTGGACCTGACGGTGCAGCAGATTGAGGTAGAGATGCTCAAAACTCAAAGCAGGAAGCAGTTGTGATGGCTGAACCGGCGAGGACCGGGCTGCACTGACCTCTGCTGTGCTCTCTCAATCTCTACTTTCAGCATCTGAACAAAACCTTTAACGCCAACGTGCCGCTCGTTCTCATGAACTCCTTCAACACCGACGAAGACACAAAGAAGATTCTGCAGAAGTACAAACACCACCAGGTCACCATCCACACCTTCAACCAGAGCAGGTGCAGCACACATACATTTGTGTGGTTGTGTTTGTGAAGATAATCATGTATTGCCCAGCCCCTTCCTCTAATCTGAGAGGTGCAGTAACTAAGATCCCCCCACTGTCTGATAACCCCAGTGACAGTGGGACAGGACATGGTGTCTCCCACCTTATCTTGGATGGTCGTCGGCTGTGATCATCTTTCCATCATAGTTTTTTATCAGAAAGTTATTATATTGGTAAAATGCACATTCCTGTTTTCTCAAAATTTATTTTAATAATATTTTGGGAGAACCATCTGAATTTGTCTCATGCAACATCTGTCTTGATAAGTGTTTTTCAGATCAGTGTTGAATTTTCCTGCTTGCAGGTATCCGAGGGTCAACAAAGAGTCGCTGCTGCCAGTTGCCAAAAACATGGGAATGAGCGGCAATAATGCGGAGGCCTGGTACCCGCCGGGTCACGGAGACATCTACGCCAGCTTCTATAACTCCGGGCTACTGGACAAGCTCATCGCTGAGGGGAAAGAATACATCTTTGTGTCCAACATCGACAACCTGGGCGCCACCGTCGACCTCTTCATCCTGCAGCACCTGATGAGCCGGCCGGCAGACAAACGCTGCGAGTTCATCATGGAGGTCACCGACAAGACCAGAGCCGACGTCAAGGTCAGAAACATTCATTTAGGTGTCCGTTAACTCATTGTATGATGTCGTCCAGGTGTGACACGGCATTTCCTGTGTGCAGGGTGGGACTCTGATCCAGTACGAGGACCACCTTAGACTGCTGGAGATTGCTCAGGTCCCAAAGGCCCACGTTGACGAGTTCAAGTCTGTCACCAAGTTCAAGATCTTCAACACCAACAACCTGTGGATTTCACTGCCCGCCATCAAGAGGCTGCAGGAGAAGAACTCCATGGACCTGGAGATCATCGTCAACCCCAAGGTGACAAACACGCTCAGGGCACTTTACATAGTAGGGTGTAGACCTTAGTGTTATAGAGAAAAACCCAACAAAGCCCCTGTTTCTAATGTTTTATATCACACTTAATTGATTATGGAAGTAGTAGTTGCAGCCCTACATAAGTCCTTAAAAGGAAACAGGTGCTTTTATTTTTTAATGAGGCTCTAAGTTGATCCCACAGTTTTATAGCCTCTGATGCTTAGTGATGAACAACAAATGCTTAAATTGAAAGTTTATTTTAAAAAGACTTGGTAACCAGCATACAAGTGGCGAGGACGCTGAGCAGATGCATGTTTGAGCCTAAATCATTCGAAATGTTAAAAACCTGCCACAGCAGCGGCTGATTCCCACCACGGACTAGAAACAGAGGCAGCGGTGTCCTGCTGTCACTAAACCCCCGAATGTCTCTGCAGACGCTGGATGGCGGTCTGAACATCTTCCAGCTGGAGACAGCCGTTGGTGCCGCCATCAAGAGCTTCAAGAACGCCATGGGCGTGAACGTCCCTCGTAGCCGCTTCCTGCCGGTGAAAACATCATCCGACCTGCTGCTGGTGATGTCCAACCTTTACAGTCTGGAGGCCGGCTCCCTCACCATGAGCAAGAAGAGGGAGTTCCCCACCACGCCGCACGTCAAGCTGGGCAGCTCCTTCACCAAGGTCAGTGCCTGAAAGTTCTATGGTGGTGTCAGTGTCCTACAGAAGCAGCCAGGGTGGTGATGCTCGTAACATCCTGACATTAGCAGCTGGTCATTTTAACTAAGGATCCCAGAGTTAAGTCTTAGGATAATGTACAGAATATGTAATGTACCATCACCGTCTGCACAAAGCTAAGTTAAAATGATTAAATTATAAAATAAGATGGAGCTGATGCTGTGATGTTTTTATAGTGGTAACAGGTTAATATCTCCTTTATTTCAGGACAGTTTTTTCATGGCAATGGAATCGTTTTATCTTTACAAAATAAAAGCTGATCATGAGAAAACATAGTTACATCAAATAAAATAACCGAGTCATGTCAGAGAACTGGATATCGGTCGTGAGAAAGTCTTTTATTTTCTCTTATTATCTCCTTTATCACAGCTTAACCTCCGTGTGTCGAGATAACAGGATTTACATATTGGTGTTAGAAACATTTGTGCTGAATTCAGATACAAACTGTTGTCATGAACTGGAGCAGTAAAACATCTTGACGATGACGATGATGATGATGATGATGATGATGATGATGATGTTGATGTTGTCCAGGTTCAGGAGTTTCTGGCCAGGTTTGAGAACATCCCAGACATGCTGGAGCTCGACCACCTGACCGTGTCCGGAGACGTCACCTTCGGAAAGAACGTGTCTCTGAAGGTAAACGACATGTCCAGTCGCTGGCCGCTGACCTTTGACATTTCACAGCTTTTGAAGAAAATGCACAACTGTTCAAAAGTTCGGGGTCACCTCTTTTTCCATTGAATAACTTTAAATGGTACAAAGCCAAGAAGTAAACTGTCAGAGGTCAAACAAAGTCTCCAAAAATGTTTGTAAATGTCATATAAAACAGGCCTTTTCAGGGGTTAAGTAATTGTCCCAGCGGTCTTTGACTTCAGTTGTAGAAAGCGTGTGCGGGTGTTTGATTACACTGACAACAGGAAACATGGAGGTGAAAGCACACTTTGGACTGGGTGTGTAATTCTACATTTTCTTAAAGGATAAGGTTGGTTATTTTCTACATGAACAGTATTTTCAACTCTCCGCATACAGAGACTAAAACCAACAGAGTTGCCCATACTCACTGCTAATGTTTGTTAGTCCTGGATCAGCTGTGCCACAGACCTCCACTATTCTCCAAACAAGCAGAACTTTTTACAGTGTCTGAGGTAGACTCGACTCCACTGTCCACATGGGAGGCCTCATGCACAGCTGAGTCTTCCTCCTTCAGACGCTGTAAAACATTAAGCTTTTTGGATGCTTTTAACAAGTATGTGTGTCTGGTGTTTTGTAAAGAAGAAACATGTCACCTATGTGGCAGTGTGTCCCTCTGATGTGTTTTTAATCACTTCTGAAGAACAACAGACGTCCATGGCACAGATGAATAACTAATCCACTATGACACTACCATATGGACATCAGGGGATAACCTACAGCAACTATCGGGACAAGTTTCACAGGAACTTGAGAAGATAAAGAAATGGTGTGATAGTAATATGCTGTCCATGAATATGGATAAAACTAAATTTATGGTATTTGGGAATCACAGATAACGAACTGCAAGTGAAAATAGGGGGAGCTAATATAGAACGAGTATATGAAATTAAATTTCTAGGTGTCATAGTGGATGATAGATTCACCTGGAAATCTCATATCAGATATATTCAGCACAAAATAGCAAAAAACATATCGATATTGGCAAGGGTTAGATATATTTTGGA